GGTGAGAACTGCTAGAGCTCTGAAGAAGTCTCATAGCAACAGGTAAGATACCTTCAGAAACCTAAATTTTCAACCTAATTTCTGTAAACTCCTTTAAAGGGGCAGTAACATGTAAGAAAGGTGCCTAACGTTATTAGTTTCAATTTACCAAGCAGGAGTCCATGGTTCTACTAGAAAATGTTTAAAGAGTCTACAAATCGGCAAAGCTAGAAAACGACGGGCCTAGGATATCGTTCAAGGTAGGATTTGAGAGAGCTCATGTGCTCTGTGTGGTAGACATGAACGTGGAAAAGACCAGCCTCAGATGTCGCTACGAGCATATAATATAGAGTGAAGGGCAGCCGTTTGCTGTCTAAAAATAGAGAGGCATTATGTCAAATTCAACTGTGTATATTTGAAAAGAAACCAGAAAATTCAGTCCAAAATACTGCATTTTCATGGAAGTAAGGTAGCCCGCATTTAACTTTTATTTCATGTTCCAGGTCAAACTCTTTTTTTTTTTTTTTTTTTTCCTCTGAAAATAACAGTAAAAATAGGTTGATCAGAAGAGCAGGGAGTTCTCGAGAACACTTAAAATGTTGTGACAATAAAGTTGCCTCCCCGAATTTGGATGTGTTAATCTGTGTGTTTAAGATATAGTCTGTATGACTACATATCATTTTTTAGGACCTTTGTGTCGTCTACTGAGAGCTGAATAATTTGTTAGAACATTATGCATTATTTATTGTATGCCATATTATGAATGAGGTTGATCTGCATAACAGCCTTCCTTCACTTGCTGTGAAATCTATAGATGCCATAAATATAGCAATGGGTTACTGGAAGAGGAAAACTTATCATAAAAATAGTAGACTGAGATCCAGCTGTCTGACTTTGCTACAAAGTTCCTATGAAACCTGGCAAGTCATTCAGCCTCTTAGTGGTGCAGTTCTACATCTTTGAGGATATTGTCTCACTGCACAGGAGTAATAGGAGGTTAAGTTCACAATGACCTTTGAGACACTTCAGTAATACAGTAGTGAGATTAAAGAGGAGATGAGAGAGCGTTCATATTCAATGTGTTGATTAGAGAATATGTAAGAAAGCAAGACAGATGAATAATAAAGATAAAGAACAAAGAACAAAGCAAAGGACTGACTCGGCTCTGTCCACCTATGTGATGGATCATGGAAGGTATTTGCTGATTAGTAGCATATGATCATAACATTAAATTGTATATCATGTTGCACATAAGTAGTGTTAAGGTGTCACATTACTACTTTCATTTGTTATTTGCACAGAATATGTTTGAATTTTGTCTGCAAAATATTTTAAGAGTAGTATGATATTTAGTGTAGTGCAACTATTGAAAGAACATTTATTTTTTGTTTATGACTGAAGAATCTGTAAGCTGCTGATGCTATGAAAGTCTCTGAATTCTGTTAAATTCAGCCGCTATAGGTGGATGTAACAATCAAGTGTGGGTATAAGGAACACACAAGATGTGGTATGCTGACAAACCTAAGATCTATAAATTGATCTTGCATCTGTAATTTCACTGAAATTGATGACATAAAGGTTTAAAAATATTCATGTAAGGTCTTGCAAAATTGAATTTTGAGTCTCAGTTTCATTGTCACTGCCCTTCAGGCCAAATTTGTGTCATCTCGTTGGGCTTTACCTTTGTCAAAAGGAGGAACCATTTGGAAGTGTGTGGATAGCAAGTACTGAAATCTGGCATAAAAATCTGGACTGAATTTTTATATCTATCTGATTTTTTTTTTGATTTTTTTTGAGGGGCTAACTGTTTATAGAATTGCCAATTAATGTTAATTTATTTTGCAAATTCTGAAGAGGAGGAAGAAAAGATGGGTTTGTGTTAAACTTCAGAGTTTGAAATAGAAACTAAATAATTTCTGAAAATTTTTCAGTATTCATTTTATGGGAACAGTGATTGCACGTGTAAAATTGTACAGAAGCTTTGGCAATTTAGCATGCTAACTGTTAATAGGATGAAGTCGGGGTACAGAGTATAAAGGTAAAAATCTCGCATCTGCTGTTACATGTTGTTAACTCCCATAGCAGACATTAAATCATTTCAAGTACAATAATAGTGTGGGAGGTAAATTAACTAACCATTAACAATCTTATAAATACACAATTAACATGCCAGCATTTATATGACACATTGATGGGGCAGCAGTAATTTTTGATTGGGAGTTTGCAGACCTTTTAGAAGCCTAAGGCTGTTGCTTATTTAAACAAGTTCTTACTGCTTGCAGGTGAGCATGGCCTTTTTCTAATAATAAGTGAGGTGTAAATATATTTAAAGAACATTCTCAGAGCACAAACTAAAAGAGTTTTTCTTTTTAAATATCCATATACGGTACTTAGTTGTATTTATATTCTTGAATTTGGACAATGCTAGTCAGACTGTTACTGCTTAAAGGTCCTTATCAGGTAAATTACAGTAAGAAGTTTGCCTTATGGTGGGAGGTTTGTGTTGTGGTCTCTCGATTTGAGAACAACGAGAAATCCTTAAGGGAGAGGCCTACTTTCTGTGTTGAAAAGAACTGGAAAATAAAAAATAGAATCATAGACTCGCTGAGGTTGGAGGGGACCTTTGGAGATCTAGTCCAACCTCTCTGCTCAAAGCAGGATCAACTAGAGCAGGTTGCTCAGGGCTTGTACAGCTGGGTTTTGAATTCCTCCAAGGATAGCGATGGAATGTATTTAGGTAGCATAACTTATTAAAAATGTGTGGTAGGAACAGCATATTAATAACAAGCAGCATGACAGTTTTTTTTCTCTACCATTCATTTCTTGCTGCTCTGTTAACATTAATATAATATTTTTGAACTTGTCTATTATTTTAAAAAACAAAAAGGGGACAGGCTCTCATAAAAGAAATATTTGTAGCAATATTTGTGGCAAAGGGAGGAAGAAAGCCTAAAATGATGGAGGATATAAACCTCTTTTTATTGAATGTTCTATTTATTGGATGCTGATGCTTGCCAGTGGGGAGGAGACTCGTGGGGGTGGTGAATTTGCAACTGAGGACGAGTATGAGGACGAGTATGAGGCCTTCGACAAAGCCAAGCACCGTCAGAATTTTGCTTTTGTCGTGATTAGATGAGTGTCCAAATAAAGTATTACTTTTGCTTTCAACTATTTAAATGCAGAAGCTGCTTAGTGAGGCTCTGTATATTAATAGACCTTTTCCCTCAGATGCGTGCTGGGAAGTGATGAATGTGTTTGCTATCCCTAGAACAAGCTTGTCTGATGCTTTCTTTCACTTTGTTCTCTTAAAAACTGCCAGGAAGAGGCCAACTGCCTTTACCAGATTTTTCAGGGGAAAGTGCTTTGTGGAATTTAAAATCATTCTTTTTCCTTTGGTATTTTCTTTTTGCTGATGGAAGTTTTGCAAACGGCAATGATAGGAAGGTTTCTTTTCTGTGTTCAAAATATTAAATTAATGCATTTAGTTCTATAGCTGGTATATATACATTTTTTTCCTCAGATATGGAAATAATTAGAAAAGCAGTAGGGATTTGGAATTTCTGAAGTCTATTTCTAGTCTTGTATCTGTCTGTGATCTTAGATTTAAAAAAAAAAAAAAAAAAACCACCACCAACCTCCCAGCTCTTCAGGCTGAGGTTTCACAGTCACAGAGCCACCTGTGAGTGCCTCTGGTTAAAGGGGACCCATCTGTCCTCCCCATCTTTCGATATTCCTGCTGCCTGTGTTATGTTGGTACTAGTGTTCTTGCAGCTGTTCACTTAGGGGGCTGATCTAGCTGGAAACTAATAATTTTTTCCTTGTCAGGTTAGTTTTCAGCAGGTCATGTTTCTGACGTGACTCAGCTCACAGCTGCACAGGTGCTAATGCCAACCGTGGTGGAAATCTGTGAGCAGGGCCGGACAGGAGCGGGGAGTTGCCCCTTTCAGAGGCAGCCCGCGCTTAAATTGGATTACAATACCTATACGTTTGCAGTTACAGTAAAATGAGTAACAGCTTGAGTGTGGGTTTTTCTCTTTTTTACCTATTATTTTGTTTTGTAAGGCCGCTTGCATACTCTGAATGAAATATTTTAGGTAAGTGGCAATTACTGTTGTTAGAGTACTTAAGAATTCAGGCATCTAGTATATGATCACAGAGCTCTTTCTGTATTGCAACTGCTGTCCATTACGAAGCTCCATGCAGCAGCAGATGTTCCGTATTCTGCCCTGAGATACAGATCTCTTCATGTTTGAAGGTAATCTTGGAAATATAAAACCTGAATTTCGGTTGGTTGTTTGCGTATTTGAGAGTAAAGAAAGTTTTCTCTGTATACCTTTTAATTCACTTTTAATGAAACAGAGTAAGAGTTTAGGAAGAGTATTGTGCTACACAGAAGTCTTTCCTGGGTGCAGAGATGAGATGGTTCTCAGGGTATCATTGTTTAAACATGCACCTTGACTTCCATGCCAGCTTTTCAGCAATAATTCATGTAGAGTAGTGTATCACATGAGGAGCTGAGTTGAAAGACTGGAGAAAATTGAGAGCGCGGGAGGGAATGTTGAGCAAGTGCTTGAGCATCGTCAGACAGAGCCATGAATCTGAGAGTTCTTGAGAGATGATATCTTGGGAAAAAGGGGCTAGAATTGGGTAATCAATGGGTTCCTGTGTAGAGGCAGAAGAAAAACAGAAACGCAATATTATGATGGGTGTAAGAAAAATCAAAACCCTATTTCGTGCTGTAAATTTACTATATTTAACAAACAAATGGTTTTTTTGTGTGTGTTTTATCTCCATCCAGCGGTGTGTAGTACTTCAAATATTTTGCATTATAGAAACAATTTGTTTTATAGTAACGGGGTCTGTCTGGAGATGTTTATTTTGTTCAGGTCTTTTGGAATCTAGGTTTCAAAATGTCCTTCAGAACCACTCAGCAGGACCTGATTGTATTGTTTGTTTGTTTGGGGGCGAGGGGGGGTTCATTTGTTCATTTTGCTAAAATGCTGTGTACGTTATATTTCTAGGTGCCATTGTCCATGGAACAAGATGGAGAGAAGATAGTATAGTGAAGTGGTGGGCTTGTGGACAGGATGGCTTTCCTGGACAACCCAACAATTATACTTGCTCATATTCGGCAGTCACATGTGACCAGTGATGATACCGGGATGTGTGAAATGGTCCTGATAGATCATGATGTCGACCTAGAGAAGTTTAATCCCTCGTCAACATATGGGGACAGTTCAGAAACCCAGGGAAGCAATGGTGAGACTCAGGGCTATGTATATTCCCAATCAGTCGATATTACCTCAAGCTGGGACTTTGGAATTAGAAGACGATCAAACACAGGTAAATGATATTTGCAGCAGAAACAACATTAGCTTTTAAATTCAGTTTCTAATAATCTGGTTTGCATGGACCAATCAGAGCATGACTTGCTAAATATCTGCCATGTTTTTCCTCTTGTAATGTAGGCACCTTTTTTTTTTTTTATAAAAGGTCTTTTAATGATCCATTTACTCTAGCGTGCTGTAAACTGAATTTTAATTGCTGTTTTATTTAATCATGTACAGAGGAATTTTGAGAGAGTTTCATTAAAAAACAGTTGAAATTGTAAAGCCGTCAGTTCTTAATCAAAAATACATGCTCAGTCTTTGTTGTTTGTATTGTTAATGTCTAGAGGGGAGTTAATTTCTGAACACGATAGTTGTTTTCTGAGAAATATCCACCAATATGTGTCAAATCTGTTTGTTATAAAAGAGAGCAATGAAGTTTGTTAGCTGATGAAGTGAATGATCTGTCTTTACTTTGTCTTCTGAAGTCTTACATTTGAGAAAAAACTTGAACTAGGATTTAAGTCATCAAATTAGGAAGTTTAAGGATGTATACCTTTTCAAAATATGAAGACAAACTAAGCTACTAGCATTAGAAGAAAACCTGGCTTATTTGCTGTTTCATGTTAGGGTTTGTGAAACTTCTACTTATACCCAAGGAATGGTATGAATAAGAATTCTGGAATATCTAATATATATGACAAGACTGAGGGTTGGTCAGTACTGACCTTTTTTTCCTGTGTTACAGTATGTGTTTGTGTGTGTGTGTGTATTTTTTTTTTTTTTGAAATTGTTTCTGCAGGTATTATAACACCACCTAGAGCTCAAAAAAAAAAATCCGTGCTCTACTTAACAAGTAAAATGTTAAATTGCATTAAATATTTTGAGATATCTTTTACAAATAAAATGTCATCAAAATTATAGAAGACACAGGGCACTGATCTTTTAATTAAGACAGTTATACTTGGAAATAAGCTGAATATATAGATTTGGAATCCTGGCATGCTGAAACTGAAATTAAAGGCATGGTGAAAAGCTTAGGGTGCCAGATTGCCAAGCCCTCTTCTTGAGGGCTTATTTAGTTCGGTAGATATTATACTATGTGAGGAATGAAAAGTGAAGATTTATAGAATTGCTCTAAAAAGTAATTCTGAACGATTATTTCACCAAATGAGTGGATTGATAAAATAAACTACATTTAAATTACAATTTGAAACCATTTGAGTTGCAAATTGGTGGCATATTCTAAAATAATGATTAGGATACTCAGATCAGTAGGAAGCTGGGTTTGTGCCTCTTTCTGTCTGGAATGTCTTTTAGGTTGTGTTGTCATCTATGCATCAGGCACCTAATACAATTATCAGCTTAAGGTTTGAAACAAAACAAAAAAAGCCTACAAGATAAGTTGATTAGCGTGAACTCTTTTCAATAATATGGGAAGAACAATAAACTAAACTCAAAGTTAACTATTTCAAAATAAGTGCTTTTTGCACTACACGGGTAGTTAAGCTAAGTCCTTGATGACAGAAAACATAGTTCAGGAACTTAACAGGAGTTTATTACTCAAATGCCTGAATTTGTTTATGCTGAATTGCAATAGGTAGGGTAAAATATATGTTTATAAGACACATTTTTATGCCTCTGGTGATGAAAGTTGTTTGCTATCTAAAATTAGGAACTTACGTGATAAGTTGCTCTGTCGCTGCTTGAGGAAAAAAAAAAAATTAATAGGACTGTTCAGGTTCATTTCCAGTTATAATGAAGTCTGTTTCGAAAGAAACTACCTTATCTGGGAGAGTCTGTGTTTTTCATCCAATAGAAATAAAAGATGTTGATAATTTGAAAGCAAAAAGTTATTTTTGAAGTTTCCTCTAATTAACTATTTTCCATAAATAAAAGCCACTTTTTAAAGGAGCTGAAGAACAATAGAAAACCATAGCCCCTAATATTGCACTGCTATTGAAAAAACATCTTGCTGTTTTAATAGGTGTCACAGAGTTTTAAAAGTGTAAAAATTCTAAGTCAGGATTGCTTGGCACAAAAAAGGATCTACTTCTAACTATTACGTATTTTAAATTCATATTTTTAATTCATTTAAATTAACCTCAGGTCTTAATCTGGAGGTAAAACGGTAACAAAAAATATTTTGTGGTCAGTAAGTTCTATAATTTTTAGAACACTTCTTGCTGCTTCTTCACAGAAAAAGCGTTCATATGTCTGTCTCTTTTAAGTGCTAAAACTTGGTAACTGGTGGAATTTCAATTTTTGCTCCCAAAATGTCCAACCTTAAGGGCATTTCTTTCTCACATAATTCGTAAGTGCCTGAGTGGATTTTTTAGCAAAAACAGGAATGTTTGTTCTTTGAAAAATAATTGAAATGGTCTTTATGTTGAGCAGAGAAGGTAGTGTCATTTTGTATATCAACAGATTATAAAGGCTGTTTTTTTTTTTTTAACATATAAGCTCTTCTTTATTCTCCTTTTTTATAACCTGCTAAATAAAATCATTTCTGTTTGTGATGTCTTTTACCATTGTTTCTGGTTGGAATATAATTTTTTATTATCTTGTGCAAAGCTATTTCATTATAAAATACCTTACCGGTGTGTCATACCTGTTTGATAAGTTGTAGAAATAATGTGTTATTGCAGAAGACTCAGCACATCACTGTAGAGCGCATGCAACTATTAGTTATTAAGTGTCCCTTGTGGGTATGCAGATTTGAAAATGGATTTATTTGCATTCTAATATCAAAGTTGTCCCCTTTGACTTAAAAGGGATGCGCAGTGAGCAAGACATGTTAGGGTATGGCACATCATGTTTAGGTTCTGGGACACCGTGGGTGTTGTCTGCCCAAGAACTTTTCATCCTCCTCTACCGAAGCTGGAAGGGTCATGGGGATCTTTGGCAGTGCATCTCCTCACTGCAAAAAAAAAAAAAAAAAAAAAAAAAGAACACGCACAAACACACTCCCCTCAAGTGCAGGTGAGCCAGTACAAGGTGTTATATACATGGGAAAGAAGCAAATTCTCCCTCCCAATCCACATGACTAGAAACAAAGGCTCGTCTAGTTACTAATATTTAATGAAGCAAGAACTACATGTGATCAGCAAAGTTTTTGACATAGCTTTAAAGCTGATATGCTTGTGAGTTGGAACCTTAAATAATTCAAATTCCTAATAAATACCGATAATTCCATCTAATTTGGAGTTGCTATAATACCGTCACACAATGAATGACAATTTGTGATCAACTTTACGTGGAAAAATTGTATAGAAGAATTGCATTGAGTCAGTGAAGACAGTGACTGCATGTTAATATACTTGTTTTGGCGTGGGTTAGGGGGTGAGATTAACCCTTGCATGCCTTTGATGAATTTCTACCTCTGTGTCTCTAAAAAAGCAACTGAAGGTGGAATTTTACCAGCTTTGGGACGTACTGAGCAGCAATTCTTTTCCTACACCACTCACCACAGTTCAGGACTGGAAGTTACAGTATCATCTTAGGGGAGCGCGCTCCATTTGAGTCAACATCCCCTTTTTAAAAAATAATGAACTAACGATAATAGTTACCAAATAGGGCAAAATCCTGCACTCCTCTTATTTCTATCTTATATTTCTTCCTTTATTTTTTTAATGTATAAATGTAATGTATATTTCATGATGGCCCATTTGGGAAAAAGGATTTTGGAATGTGATTTGAACTACAGTCTAGACAGTAATTAGAAAAAATTTTTTCATTCAGAATTAAATGTCCACACCACAATAGTGTTTTATCCAGTATTTGCAGTTATAAGCATGATTCTTCCTTTCTTTTTTTTTTTTTTTTTTCCACAAAGGGTAAAAAATAGAGACATTTAGTCACTGGCATCATATTGATGTAAACGGGAGTTAGGAAATGAAGTCTCTATTTATATTTGCCTTAAGCTACTTCCTACAGCTGTTGAACCTAAGGTTTGTTTTTTTGTTTGTTTGTTTTTCCATCATTTATCAGTTTGGGAGTTTTTAAGTAAAAAAAACCACTTCTGTGTCCATACTTCTGTTCACAGACTGAATGCAATACTAAAGTAAACAGAAGGAGTATAAAACATTTGTTAAGGTTTTTTTAATTATTATTATTATTATTGGTGAAATGGCTCAGGGAATTCAAATTGTATCTAAAAATTGTCAGAATAATTTAGTATTTTAGAGACTCTTCTGAAAACTCACTTTAATTAGTGAATGGTCTCGATGCTTCAAAATTGCTGATATATCCAGCAAATTGTTTGCTCAGTGATCAGTGTTGTTAGTCCTACTTTCCAGTCTAATCTGCTTTCTTTTTTGAGTGGACACTTTATTGCATTGGTTATTTCTGGTGGTCATTTTCTGGGATAGCTTCTACCAGGGTATTTAGTTGGCAGTCTCCTGAGAGATCTTTTGTTAACAAAAAGAGAGTTTAAGGTATCATCTGGGACCTTGATCTGTAAGCTGTTTGATATTTTAGCAATTTGAGGCATTTTTTCCAAACCATATTTTGAAGATGGAGTCAAAATATACATAAAGAAATATTATATTCATTTTAATATTTGACTAATGTTGTGAAGATACAAATCATTTATTTTACTACCTATAAACTGTTTCAGCACGCTGCAGAAAAAGCTATGCTAATTTATATAGCTTTGACATTTTATAATTTTCATGATTTTTAGATAAAGGATTTTATATTTAAAACTTTAATAGTCTAGTCTGAGTTCATTTATCTTTAATTTTTGAAACGGGTAGAGTAATTCATAACAGTAATTTTATTCCTGTAATGTAATATTCACTTCAGTTCATTTGTGCATTAAAATTCCTTTAAGACCGTTATTAATGATTTATATAATGAAATGTCATATTAATCACAGAAGTTTTCACATTTTATTATTCTCTTCCATGTTAATACTATCTTTATGATCTCTATTAATGTTTTATATCCTCTAATTTCAATTATAAATCAAGAACATTTTCATGTTTTTGTTGGTATTTGCTTTTCAGGGGTGCCACCTTTAAAATTTTATGACTTTTTCCCCTACATATGCAGTATAAAACATCTTTATTCATATAAAGGTAGTTAATTATGTCTTTGTTTATAGTAAACTTTCATTGACAAACTTATAGTTATAATATTTCTTTTCAAGCTCAGAGACTAGAACGTCTGCGGAAAGAGAGACAAAATCAAATAAAATGCAAAAATGTTCAGTGGAAAGACAGAAATACTTCTTACTCAGGTAAAATGAAAAGATCTTCTATTTTCCTACTGTGTTTATTTCTACTTTTGATATTAAATTATAACATTTTCAGTTTGTAATTCTCACTTAAACTTTCAAAGCATAGAGGAAATACTAATTACTATATTTGCCTTCCATTCCCTAGTTGCATGGTTCCTGTAGTTTGTTGTTTTATTGGCGTGGCAGGCTATTGCCAGAAGCCTCCCATTTGTTTCCAGCTTTGGCTGGGGCACTCTGACTTACTGAAAAAGACAAAATACAAATAAAATGTTTAAGATTAGTTTATTGTTCTGAACTAATTAGAGTCGCTGCTTTTTGGTTTTTTTTTTTTTTCCTGCAATATAAGTTATTCGTATAATGTTTGTGGATTTTTGTCAGCTGGTAACATCATCTTTTAAGATTTTCGTAAGCTTACTGAGTAAGAAATGAAGATTGCAAAGCTTTTAGTGTTATTGTGAGATATTTAAGGAACAGTCAAGTAACAGGACTTGATTGTCTCCTTGCTGTATTGGTAGGTGATTGGCAAGTGTCTGTATTCAAAATGCAGGATCATTAAGTCCATGTAAATTATTGTTTTCAAGCTGTTTCCAGTGGCTTTTGGTGTACAGACTGTGATGGAATTTTTTTGTTTTTTTGGGGAAGGGGGGAATTACTTTTCCGGATAAGGGAGAATTCTTAAGAAATAATATATATGTAAGATCTTCTTAAACAGAAGCATAATAAAAGGTGCCTTAGCTTAGCTGTTCCTTCAGAATACTAGTATCACTGATTTTTCAGATGAATATGCTCTTTTTTTGGGGGGGGTATAATTTCTGACTGGATGTGCTACATAGTTTAATAATAAATGAAATGAAAGTTCCATCTCAATTCTCTTCTTTCATAGCTCAAGCTAGTATCTGTTCCTGTTGTATGTGACACACAGTCAAACCTTTGTATGGTCTGTCATGCCTACTTCTTTCAAAATGCGTATATATCTTAATGAGTTCCCTGTATAATCTCCTTTTTGCCTAAATCCTTGCATCTTCCTGGCTATCCTTTTCAGAACCCTCTCCAGTTCTATAATATCTTTTTTATGAGAGTGAACAAAGCTGCTCATATGAGCAACACGGTTGCACTAATCCCCACTACAGTGTTCAGCATATGTTTGATACCTTTATTTATGCATTCTTAAATATTTTTGCTTTTCTACGTTTGTAAGCACTGGTGTAGGTTTTAAAGTTTAATCCACCATAACCTCCAATTCTTTGCTCAATATTTTTTAGCATTTGACTAATGATGGTGTAATTCTCTTTTTCTTCCTTATCCCCTAACTATGTTGTTTGTTTTTTTCTTCATACTGAAATGCACTTGGATTTTAGCTTCCTGCTGTATCTATGCTATTTGTGTTTTCTTATTCATATGGGCTCCTTGGCACCATGACATTTAGTTCCTTTTATGTGCTGCCTTGAAGATAGACCTAATCTGTCAAGTAGCAATAAAGGAGGTGTCACCCCTCTCAGAATGTGCCAGGTTTTAGTTTGCCACTGCAGTTGCAGGCGAGTAGACCTGTACCTCCCTGCTGCAGAACAGATTTTAATAAAAAATAAATAAATTGCATTAAAAACTCCAGGCACTCAGTAACTGTCTTTATTGGCAGTGCTGATTCTCCTTCTCTGCATTCAGTGAGACTCTTCATGTTTCTTTACTTATTTGTGTGAAGAACATAGCAGAAAGAGGCCAAGGAAAAGAGGAGTCCCAAACTGTATTCCCTGGCAGGAGCGTGTGTGAGACTGTGTCTGTTCTGTTCCTTAAGTTTAGCATCATTGGAAAATATATATGAAAGCAATAGTAATAGAAATGGCTGTCCTCAGATGGGAGGAGTTTGGCCGTCCTCTTCTGATGGTGTGTTTATTTGAGCTTTAGCCAAAGTTAAGTTTATGGTTGGCACCACGCAGACCAAAAGGATACTGGAAAGTTGTTTGCTCTGCTGAGCAGTCTGATAACACCATCTGCACAGCTTCCTGGTCGCAGGCAGACGCCTTGCTGAAAAGAGGAGCTCTTATCAGCGTTCCCATTCTCCTGGAGGTTGATAGGTAGTCATAATTTGAGGCTTTTGGTGGTTGAGTATTCTTTGTCATATCCCATTTTGTATTACTGTGTACAAAAATAGAATTATGCTAACCATCATCTCTTGAATGGACGGGTATGAAGATCCATATGCCATTTATCTGTGGGCTTCTGTTAACAATTGAAAGAAAATGATATTAGTGCCTTACCTTCTACAAAAATTTCCATTCTTGAGCACTAACACTTGTCATTATCTGGCTCAGTGTGTTCTCTTAGGTTTACCATGTTCTTTGTCAGTGTTATATGAAGGGCTTAGAACGGGCAGCCCGATCGTGAATCTGCAATTACTTTGCCACAGAAGAAGTAAGCTGCCGGTTAAATAGCCCGGCCTACCCCACAAGCCGTTCCAGCCCCCTGCCTTGCATCAAAGCTGGGCTGGGCATGCAGGGAGTTGAGCTGGCTGATTTTCTTTTTTCCGTTGCTGGGCTGCCTCTCAGCCAGCCCAGTTTCCTCATGCTTATTTTCCTTTCCTTTCCTTACATGAACATCTCTCCTGACTATCCGTATGGTGTAGGTCATTAACCTAGACGTACTCTCTTCTCATTATTTGGGTACACTTAGACAATATTAATAAACTGCAGCCTAAACTTTAATTTACTTAAGCTTAGATATCCCGTGGGATCCCACAGAGGTTCTCCCTCTTTTTCCTATTCTCTGATGTTAGATAGAATTAGTTTTTAAGAGGTATTGTTCAGATGCAGATGATGGAGCATGCTAGCCAGCGTTTGCCGTGAAGAGTTGGCAAGCTCAGTTTGTGAAAGCGCTAGGATAAAGGGAAGTGAGAGCAGAGTAATTCTGTGTATGGGCATGAGAAAAAATGAAGAATGTTTTCCACTCAGCATTTGCTTGCCACAGTCATTAAGCAAGCTTTTGGCATTGTCGTAGGAGTGACTTTGAAATATAAGGTTGTACAGTGTGCAGAGTCAAAAAGAAAAAAAAAAAAACCCTTCATGCATTTGGAGTTGGGTGGGAGATTAATAAAAACGAAGATGTTTCAGGGGCAGTTGTTTGACTGGAAGCATCAGGTACTGGAGGCCTGATTTTTATTCTGTTGCTCCAGAATAAATTAGCAGCTCATATCACCTTTCTGTGCCTCAGTTCTTTTTCAGTAAAAAGAAAATGACACCTGTCAGCTTCCTGCAGTATAGAAACCATATTATGTTAGTAAAGCAGTTTATGGGTCTTATAAACCTAATATTGATATACATCCCAGTGAATATTGTTCTTCTATAAAATGCTAGGTCTGTTTAGATCAGTCTATGAAAGGAAGTAATAGGACATTGTATTTACATGTTACATTTGTTCCTTTTAGAGCATATAAAAATGTAATTTAACAATGTATTAAGGGAATCTTCCAAAAATCTTGAACTTTGGCCCATATAGAATAATTTACAGCTAACAATGCCACAAAGGATGAAATAGACCTATAATGTGGACTAGTGGCAATGCTTCATTTTAGTTAAAAATTATGCAATTAAAACTCATCAAGTGTAAAAATATGAGCTTTTTTTTTCCTTCTGAAATTTAAGAATTTTTTAAATGTTTTTTTCCCTAGCTTGAAGGGAATAGTCGGAGCTCTCACAACTAGAGTATCTCAGGAATTGTTTGATGGAAATCTTGATGGAAAGTGCTAGTGTTTCAGAAACCTTATCTTTCTTTTTCTAGCTATTTGCCAAATCCTTAGAAGGCTTTGGGTTCCCTTTCCCAAGTGAGTTGAATTTTTTTGAGATCATGAAGTTTTGTGGAAGAGGAAAACAATTTCTAAACCCACTGAATTTACAGTGTTACAGAATGTACTATTATTTAAACCTTGTAGATTTTTAACTTGAGTGAAAGATTTACAAAACTCAAAGCAAAACAAATGTCGCACTAATGAATGCAGAATTCCTGAGATCCTCTTTCTGCATATCCCAATACAGGAAGTAAGAAACAAATCATCTTGACGTTTCCTTAGAGACAAAACTGGAAGAGAAAATACTTGTTTTTTCACTTGAACCGATAAAATCATTACATTGAACTCCAAGGTGCAAATGCCCAAGAAATACCAGTTCAGGGTAATACTCTAACATAATTATAATTGAGAATTTTTTTAAAACAGATAAGCTTATTACAAAAACAGAATACCTAATGTAGTTTAAGTTGCCACAGTTAAGAAAAAGAACTTAATCAAACTTTTCTGGTTAATCTGAGCCTCTCACAAGACTGAGTGTCTCCTGGTAAGTGTATTTGGCACTTTTGCCAACCGTCTGAATTTTCAGGCAATCTGCTAGCAAAAGTAAACTGAGTTTTTGACTGGTATAATTTGACAAGTTTTAATTTCACAGTTTAGAAAATGAATCAACTCCCTGAAGATCAAGTCCCTAGTCAATCTAACTTAGAAGCTGTTTCATTTCCCTGGAGAAGCAACATGTATATCTTTGAGATGTAAGAGAATCCAAATGTATGAATACAGAACAGAGCAGAGGCACTTTAGGAGAGCTGATGTTGATTCTCAGATAGTGATTGATTGAGTTTGGGGGTAGTTTGTTCCTAGAGCAGATGTGGAGCGCTCTTGTCCAGATTCAGTCACAATTTCTTGCAGATGAGACCCGTTGGACTAATAGGCTAAAACACCCCAGGATCTGTCCTGATTTTGTAGTGTCCATGTAACATAAGCTGTAATTTTTTTTTTTTTTAAGTGTGCCTGAATGCTACAGTTTTCAGTTCAGCTATCCAATCTCATCATATTAAAAGAGCTTTATAGCAGAGGCATACAGAGCTTCATAGGCTCCACAAACTACTTGTTAACTGTTACCAACTTTGTTTTTATAAACTTTTCTTATTGTCCAGAATGTTTGTCTGGACTGGTGCTTTCAGGCTTGGCACTTTAAGAGGAGACCATATCCAGTCTAACTATGAGAAGGAAAAGCCAAAGGAATCACTCTTTTGGATCAGATGTACTGTTCACAGCACAGTGACTGGACAGTATAGTAAGGGTATAGTGTAATATTGTGCTGTGATATAATATAATGTATGTTAAAAGCTCAGATTGAGATGCTATTGCATGTTGGAAAAAGTGACAACTGTTCTTTTGCCAAGAATTTATTATTCGTTTATAAAAAGACAGGCAGGCAGAAGGACCAGAACTGCCTAATTTTCTTTTTGTATCTTGATATGATCTTGACTCAGGTGGATCTTGCAGTGATGAGTTCCATATTTCTTTGTGGAAAAAGATGCTTCATTGTCTAAGCCTAGACAGCAGCATCATTCAAACTCACCATTTTCATACTCTTGGTTTATTAAGCAGAGTGGTGGTAGATTCTGCTAAGGCGTTTGCTGTTTTATGTATTTAATTTTGTTCTCTCCCTTATAATCTTTCTATGGTAAACAGTAGCCTCTGTACATCTCATAATGCAAATACTTTCATCTCTTTTCTGAACTGCAGCAGAGGAACTGAGCTCCCTATTTGAAAAAAAGAATTTCAAAGTAAAATCTCCATGTTCTGGGAAGCAGTCAATACTATCTGTGCGACTTGAACAGTGTCCACTACAGTTGAATAATCCCTTCAATGAGTACTCAAAATTTGATGGCAAGGTAAGTGAACCAGATATTTTTTTCTTATATCCAGGTGGTCCCTGACCTGAAGATAGTAGGCCTTAGGCAGTTCTCATATTCATTTACTTGTTTAACCTTTAATTAGACTTTATAGCAGGCCATCAGTTATTTTAGAATCATACTTCTCCTAGTCTTAAATATAGTGGTTCCAGGCTCAGTAGAAATGAGGGCATCTTTAATTTTTATCCATAGGCAAAAAAGGGAAGGTACATGTTCCGTTTCTCATTACTAAATTATGCCTTAACATTAGCTCTGTTCCATTCCCCAGCAGGATGGTTGTACAGGCTATTTGCTAAACAGAAACACATGAAATGAGAAATCAGATCCTAACAAGTGCCTGTCTGCTTGGTCTTCTAATGTTGGGATTTTTTTCATCACACGTCTTTGGAGGCCAGGCAAGAATACTGTAGGTTTTAAGTTTGGGGCCATCCAACTCATTCTTTTTATATCTCTCCAAGGATGCTGATTTCAAATAGTAGTGACAATAATATAAATGTATTTTAGACTAGCGAATAAAAAATTACCCTGTTCAAAGACTTCATGCTATAATGTAAAAGATACTTAATGCCATAAGAAACGTAAACTAAAGCAATCAAAATAGTCTCTGTACTTATCACCTCTCAGACCATTTAGTTTAAAAACATCCATTCCCACTAGGCAGCATTACTACTGCATCAATATGCTGAATTTAGCACTGCGAAAGTACTCAATTATGTAGAGGAGGTTTACTACAAACCTGGTAGGTTAAATGTATTTGACTACGTTCATTTCAAGAACTTCCTCTTGATGTTACTCTGAATTGTCAGTAATTATTTCTCCTTGTATATGCTCTAGTTATTCTATGTTGTTGAATTTTTTTCTCATAAACCCTGGAAACTGAAATATAAACATTGATGTGATGAATCAGTGTCATACTGTTCTGAAACAATTATAAATACTGTACAGTTCTATTTTCTGCTGGGTTTGTTTGAGGAGTCTCCTGTGGGAGCGTGAAGTGTGAGCTTCATTACCGTTCTGATGGAAGAATTTCATATTCTGTTCAGTATTCTTAAAGTGGAAAGTTAGATATGTAATTCCACTAGAACATCTAGAAATAATCTAAATATTTATGAAATGGTAGCTTTTAGACCATGAAGTCCATGTAGCACAAGCTGCCTCAGTTCTTATTTTATACTCGGTATGTATGAATTAGTACTAACTGTTCTGGAATCTCTGGCCTCATTAATAAATGACAGTGATACTTTGATGCTGGCAACACCATGATGCCCCCTTACTAAACCCACATCTTGCTGTTCTTGTGTCATAAAATTTCAGCTGGCAAATGTTTAGGCGTACTTCTAGCAGTCAAGCACAGAGGAAGTCAATATTTTTTTTGTTAGGAGAAATGTATTTTAATTCAGTGGTGTCCAGGTTTTGTAGCTGTAGTATTTGAGCATCATTTGGGTTTCCAGTTAGAATTTTTCTTAGGTGTTGAGGAACTTTAGAGTGGTTCCTTCCCACTTTTATAACCCAAATTGCTTTTTACTGCATTAGTGTGAATTTTAGTTGACTGTAATGAACATCTTAATTTTCATGTTTCTAAGTCTGATGCATTCAGCAAGCATTTGTTCCATTTGAAGGAAATTTTAATGTACATATTAGCTTGAGATTTTAATGAAATATATCAGTACGTTATTCAATGACAACTTTGTGATTTGTAGGGTATGATATGAATCAACTCTCATGTGATTTAGAAATCAAAATACCTGTTCAACTAACTGTACAAAATAATCAAACTGGCATTTTGTTAGAGTGTAATAAGACTGTATTAGTTATAACAGTATTGATTATATTACTGTGGTAAGCTTGTCAATAGTGTGCCTATAAAATTTATTCTCAAGACTTCTATATGTATTGCCTGCTTTTTAAATACCTACTCTCTTATCTGAGATATAGAAGAAATGTCATAGTTCAGTAGTGAGTTATTTTAGGTACATCAGTTTTGTTGTATTTTTCAGACAGTAATGTGAAATGGAAAACCGTGCAGCTTTTTTTAATTACTGTTTTTAATGAAATATTGTAGATGTTACGATATTGTAATTGCATTTATTGCATTTATTTTCTATTGGTATTGCATTTATTTTTTATTGATAAGAGGTGAGTAGTATTTTTCACATAAATACAATCCTTTTCTGGGAATAGTGCATGACTTATTTACATAATTAAGAGAGCTGCATGTCTCTTGGGGAAATGGTACATAATTGGGGAGAGGCAGGAGGGATAAGGAGGGGCTAGGGGCCTAATTAACCATGTCTTTAAAAAAAAAAAAAAAAACCTACTTAATTATGTATTTACGCAAGGAATCACAGTGGCTCTGAAATCTTTACAGTTATAACTAGGGCTTTAGTTTATATACATTAAGTGGCGTAACACAGATTTTGAGCTTGTTGAATAACACCTGTTCTGGGGCTCGCTGATATACCATCAGGAAAGCCCTTTACTTGCTGTTTCCAATCTCTTCGCTCATGTGCGTACTCATCTTGACTGCATTCTGGATGTTTGTCACTTATTGCTAGTTCAGCTCCTTAACTGACCTGAAATGAGAGAGAGCCATTTATTCACCACAATTTTTGATATATTGTTTTAAGGTGGTCAGCTAAAAACAAGAAAACATTGCATGCCATAATGTTAACCAGGCCAGCGTTTTGAAAAGCTTACATCCTGCAGGTGTGTTCTGCCAGATTTAGTGTCTTTTTCATAACCACTTCTCCAATTTTATGAAATAATAAAATTTTAAAGTACTCTAATTTCTTCCTGTTCTGATCAGTTCATTAATTATCAAAAAAGTAGAGAATATGGCTTGTGAAATGCAACTGCAGTGGAAGCATTCTAATGAGCTCAAGAACTTAGGTGATTCTTTTCACGCAGGTATACAAGCAGGGCTAGGCTTGTGGCTTTCATGTATGTTGTAAAACTGCCATTCTTAAAACAACTAGAAGAAGACGTATTTAATAACTAATGTTGTCTGCATCTTTAAGTTTTTCCTTAAAATAGCTATTGAGTAAACCTAGCCCCTGAAACTATTTCCGTGGTTTATAAGAAGGTTGTAGATCTTGGCTAATAAATCTTGGAAACTCTTGCTGAGGACATTGAATCAAGAGAGAAGGCTAGTTATTTGTAATCACTGCAGTTGCCATTTGTATAGAAAATTATTTGAAAGCTTGAGGAATTAGTGGCCAAATTGATTTCCTTTATCTGCCTGGCAATTATATTACTGTAGACAGAACACATTTTATAGATATATTCAAGTTTACTTCTGTTTACCAAATTTGAAAAATCATATTTTGATTGTTTATTGTTCCAAATTGCTGGCTCCTGATAAAGCTGGGAAAATAAGACTGACCTTACAGACCTGCCCTGCCAGATTTGAAAGTCATAGCCAGGTACCAAAAAGGAAACACAAGGGGAAACAATTGGCTTATTGCAATGGCACAACCCTGCGATTCAGAACATCCAGTTAATCTGCAAGTTGTGCTTGCTCCTGAAGAGATAAACTGTTAATTTTTAGCAGTTAAGCTTTGTTGCAGAATCAAACCTTAATCCCAATGCTCCTTTGTTTTTAAATTCAGAAAATGGGGCTCATATTACTTGCCTGCTTTCAGTATTTGCTTGAAAAGCATGCATTATCTCTTCATTCTATAGAAATTCAAAATATTCCTTTTCAAATCACAGTTGTAACTTGCATGAGTCACTGGAAAGCATAGCGATGGGTTTCCTCCGAGATACTAATCTTAAAGCATACTGATTTAATACGGCATTAGTGTCAGAACTAGTCAACTGCATGACCATTCCCACTAGTAAGAAAAAAATGTTATCAAGGTGTTTTTAGTTACTGGAATGGAGGAAAATCGTGCTAGAATCAAATATTCAGCTTTGTAGGAAGCACATCCTGAACGAGGAACTCCTGCTGGGGCCTCTATTTACAGTTCTCATTAGAATCATCATTGAAGTCTATCCACATCAATTTTTTTCTCCTAAGTTCCTGCTAATTTTGAGAAATTTTAATGACAAAAACATCTTGTCAGTTCAATTTTTTGAGATGCCTGCCACCAAATGGCTATTCTTACATCCCCAAAAGAATGTTAACAAAGCGTTACCGGGCACTCGAAGAAAAGTTACTGAAAATATTCAAAACAGTCAAAGACGACAGTTGGGAAACCACAATCAAAATGAAGAAAGAACGGATTATTCAGCTCTAGCATAAGCCTGGTATACAAGGCCAAAAGCCATTTCCAGTGGGCAGACAGAACACTAGTCTTCTCAGGATGTTTTTGTTCCTATTTTCATCATTAGAAGTTGAAAATCAAGATTTAAGGAGATCTCCGAAGTTTTCCGACCTCACTGGAGCCTTATGGGTTTACTTGACTACAGGAGATAATTTAAATTAAAAATAAAATAGGTTAACATAATTTTTGGCTGGGCAGATGCTAAAAATCCTATTGCAAGGAATGGTACCTCTGTACTTCATTACAGGATTTTTTTTTGTGGCTGATTTTGGTAACTTATTAATAACAATGTCTCTTTTAGTAACTGTTTTAACAATGATGCTGTAGGAAGTATGGGGGAAGGGATAATTCATGAGTGCTAATTGCTTGGCTGTTAATTTTCATAAGTGTTGATAGAAGCAGTTCCTTAAATTAAACTTTGTTTAAAATGTATCAGGGGAAATATTCCACAATGTCGGGCCTGAAGTGAAAATTAATATGAATGCTGTGGCAATTAACACGTACTGGTTAATAGCTTTTAGCAGCATTTTGGGATGATAGTCCTTAAATACATTTTTGCATGCTGCTCTTGTTGCAGTCTTGTTCCAGTGTATGTCTGGATAATCATGAACAAATGTTTTCCACAATCTCCAATATTAAATAGCTTTACTCAAAGAAAGTAGATAAAGAATGTGTGAAAGAAGCAATGCTGCTATAATTAATATGGAGAATGTC